GACTGTGGAACATAGTACCGTATCTTCGATAGTATGCCTACAGTCTTGGAAATTTTCTTAGAAATTTGATGTATATGTGTATGAAATTTGAGTCTATTATCAAGGTGGATTCCTAAGAATTTTCCCTCTGTTAGTTTTGTGATAGGTGATCCATTTATCATTATGTTAAGAGGGACATCTGTAGCTCTGTTACCAAACTGAATGAAGTAGGTTTTGTCAATGTTTAGTGTAAGTTTGTTAGTCCTCATCCAGGTAGATATTTTCTGTAATTCGGTATTTACAGTATTGGCTAGCGTGACTGGGCTCGGGTGAGAGAAGACGTATGTAGTGTCATCTGCAAATAGTGTGGGTTTGAGTAATTGCGAAGCATTTGGAAGGTCATTTATGTATAGGAGAAAGAGAAGAGGGTCAAGGACACTTCCCTGTGGGACACCAACTGTAATTGGTTGTGCAGAAGAGTTTGCCCCATTTGCGTACACATATTGGCTTCTGTTGCTGAGGTAAGACTTGAGGTAGTTGAGGGAGTGCCCTCTTATACCATAGTGTGACAATTTTACGTGGAGCAAGTCATGGTCAACTGTATCAAAAGCTTTACGTAAGTCAATGAAGATCCCCAGTGGGACTTCTTTTTTCTCTATTGCAGTGTATATATGTTCTAGCATGTGTATAATAGCATCATTAGTATTTTTATTAGGCCTGAATCCAAATTGGCAGGGGTTGAATATGTTTTGGGAGATAAGGTAGGAGTAGATTCGTTTATGAATTAATTTTTCGAAGATTTTTGAGAGAGGGTGTAAGTTGGATATTGGCCTATAGTTATTCAACTCTGTTTGGTCTCCTCCTTTGTGGATCGGGGTGACCTTGCTATTTTGAGTACTGTAGGGAAGGTGGAGGATTCAATGGATTTGTTAAAGAGTGTTGCAATGATTGGTGATAGCACTTGTGACACTTTTTTGTATATAAGGGGTGGTAAGGTATTTAAATCTCCTGCCTTGTTTTTTAGTGCGTTGATAATAAGGGAGACTTCGTATGGGTTAGTCGGAGCTAGGAACAGTGTGTTCGGGTAGTTGCCGGTGAGGTAGTCATTTGGTGGGGTATCTGAGCTTGGGATTTTATTGGCAAGGTTTTGTCCTATAGTGGAGAAGAAATCATTGAGTCTGTTTGCTGTTTCTGTTGGTGGGAGTTGGGGTTCATCTGTTTTTGCTAATTTTATTTCGCTATTTCGTGATATCTTTTTTGTTCCCAGAATTTCTGATAGGGTTTTCCAGGTCTTTTTTATATCACCTCGTAAGTTGGATAATCTGTTCTCATAATATAATTTTTTTGCCCTTCTTATCAGGCTGGTTAGGATTGACGAGTAACGTTTTGTTTGGTCTCTGGTTATGTGACCCATTCTGTACTGTTTTTCATATTGGTGTTTTGTATGACTGAATAAGACCTACGTAGCATAGACCAGTATGCCTACTGCACTGCTCTCATGTTGCTGAGATGATGATGATTAAGACATGTCTTATTCTTGTCTGTAATGTATACCGTTACTGTATATTGCTGAGAATGAATAGCATGTGTATACCATCAATCAGTTTAGGTAAATGGACACACGCTTGATTAAGTTCCCGGTGAGCAAAACTTGGTCTAAATAAAATGTGCAAACTGTATGTGTCCATGTACTTAAAGTTTATATTAACTATACAGTATGGAAACGTGAAGTACATTAGCATTTTCTTACTGTAAACTAACATGTTTTCTACCAGCTTTACGTTGTGATCTCTCTAAGGATGTTTCGTATTTCGCGGCAGTTCTGCCGTATTTTTTTTCGCGTGTTTACTGCAACCATCATGAAAGTCTGAATAATAAGACGGGCATTTCTTGGTGTGTGTGTGTGTGTGTGTGTGTGTGTGTGTGTGTGTGTGTGTGTGTGTGCGTGTGTGCGTGTGTGTGTGTGTGTGTGTGTGTGTGTGTGTGTGTGTGTGTGTGTGTGTGTGTGTGTGTGTGTGCGCGCGCGTGTGTGTGTGTGTGTGTGTGTGTGTGTGTGTGTGTGTGCGCGCGCGTGTGTGTGTGAGTGTGTGAGTGTGTGTGTGTGTGTGTGTGTGCGCGTGGTGTGTGTGTGTGTGTGTGTGTGTGTGTGTGTGTGTGTGTGTGTGTGTGTGTGTGTGTGTGCGTGTGTGCGCGCGTGTGTGTGTGAGTGTGTGTGTGGTGTGTGTGCGCGCGCGTGTGTGTGTGAGTGTGTGTGTGTGTGTGTGCGCGTGTGTGTGTGTGTGTGTGTGTGGAGGAAGGGGTGTGTGTGTGTGCGTGTGCGTGTGTGTGTGTTTGGCCTGGAGGCTTATTCGTAAAACGAAAAATTTTTCTCAAACAATTTTGAGGACGTACTTAGCAGAACAATATAAAATTTAGCAATGTTATTTTACATTCCATTTACAATAGAGAAGCGCAGAGTGTCCTTGGAATTTATTGAAAAGCAGACCTGAGAAAATGCGATAAGCGTGAAGGAGGCAGGTGGCTGTTGGATAGAGTGAGCGGTGATTGGTGGGTCAGAACAGCCACTCAGTACGCGTAGTTTATTCACATGGTGGTAAGCGGTAAGAACAGCTACTCACCACACATAATTTATTCACCTGGAGGTGATTGGTGGATGACAACAGCCACTCATCACGCGTAGTTTATTCACCTTGTGGTGGCCGAGAGCAGGAGCAAAAGTGGCTAAAGATTTCTGCTCCATTTCAAGTCACACCCCATTTCTGAGCTTCAGGAGAGATCTTGGTCTTTCCCAGACTCCGAGCGTCTGGTGACGGTCTAAAGTCCTAAACTTTTTAAAACTAGTCTCTGAGTCATCTTTTGAAACAACCTGGCTTACATCCGACAGCGTGGGACATATAGTTCCTTAAAGCGTTGTTATCTCCATGCTGTGTTGGAAAATAGGCTGTTTACAGAGCCATTTTTTGCCTTAAGTGTTGACGTAGTTGCTTCTTCCCTTGATAAATCTGAGCGTTTAGAAGTTAATGCTTGGAAAATCGACCGTGTTACGAAAGGGCGCCCATGTTTGTTTATATAAGTCTTGTTATCTGTTGGCACATTGACTTAATACCATTGTTTGTGAGTGACACTGGATTGTGTAGGATACGTTTTCGATTCCATGAAGGGTAATGTGGTGCATTTTGCACATTTATCTTTTCTAGATCTCATAATAATGGCTTCCCTTTTCCCACAATTTTCCTAAAAGCCTTTGCTTGGTGAAAGTTGTCTCCCAAACACGATTGATGGATGTAAACTCCGACATTTTCCTAATTTAAATTCGAAAATATTTCCGAATTCTTGAAATTTTATGGCCTCCTTACAAATAAAATACATTCACGAAGGTACTCTGCGCATCTGGCATAGTGGTGACTCACTACAGGGACGAGAAGAACTCTCAGGAAGACCAGCAGAAAGTGGATCGGTACCAGCCAATATGACCAGCACACTGTTGGCTTCACGGCCTGTCAGTTCCTGTCCCACACGTTGATATATAGAGAGGAAAAAAAGAGAAAGATGAGATACACACAGATGTACAGTAACTTTTATTGTATTTAAACCGAGAGATACACCTTCTACTGTATATACTCTGAAAGATGGTTTAGGAAGACCTGAGTAAACACTAGGACATTAAAAAATGTTTTTATCCTGGGACCTTAATCACATATATGCTCACGTGTCGTTTTTAAACCGCATTATCGGTATCTACCAAAGTTTATGCCACGCTGAAAAATGCAAACCTCTTATTGTATATACACTGAAAGACACATTAAAAGATACATATCGTTGTCTACATTGATTGATACTAGCCTTTTGGTGAATGTGTATATAAGCTGAGAGATGCACATCTCTCGGCGTATACCCACTGCCGAGAAGGAAAACATTATGGTTGCCTCGGCTGCAGATGACAAAACTCGCCGTGAACATAGAAACAATTGTTGGAGAGATAATGGAGGTTTCCTGGGTGTGGGTAGCCGAGGACGAAGCCCCTGATTCTTCACCTGCTGCCCGAAAAGACTTGCACCATCTTCACTTGCAATGAATACCTTTTGTCCAGCGCGTCCTTCCTGGCCAATCATTGGACGCTAGTTCAGGACCGAATTAAAGGCCCATTGGTATATTTTAATGGCATTAGATGAATAAGACTCATTTGCAGCAAATGGGCATCTTTATTTCCGAAACGTTTCGTTTTCTCTCTAGGCTTCTTCACTCGAATACAGAGGCTACTAAAATTCTGGCGACAGCAGCAGCGGAGAGGTAAACATGATGTGATCACTCCCTCAGTAGTGGAGAAGTAATTTACCTCACAACTGCTTCCGTTGTCTCCAATACCTTAGAAACTTTTGTATTCCACTGAAGAAACTTGTAGAACAAGAGCTGACAATTGTTTATGCACTTACACTACACGCTAGAATTCAAAATAATAATAAATAATTATTCATCATTTTTAAGGTCTTACAGCATTACCTTATATTTTTGAGATACTTAAAAATGTCTGAAAAATCTGAAATTTTATAGATCTATTCTGGCGATGAGTCTGGAGCTTCAGTGGCCTCAATCCCTTCCTTAATAGTGCCCTCCTGGGCGAGGTCTGTACTGTATACTTCAGGGGTATACATTGATACTAGACATGATGTAACAATTGAACTAGGCAAGAGTGCCACCAAGGTACATAATCCTGTGTGAAAGTGGGAGGGCTACTCCATTAGAACTAAATATTCCTTTAATAATTCACTTTAGAAATCATTTTTAAGAGGAAAATACTGCAAATTCCTTCCCAGAGATTGAATGTATTTAATTTCTGCGAATAAAATACTGTTGTAAATTTGTAATTTGCAGAATATGAAATGTAATTTGCCAATAGTTGGCGAAACCTCTTTATAAAATATGTATGCAGGAGTTGCACATGTGTCTTATACATGTACAGTGTTCTTGTTGATAGAATAACACTGTACATGAGGGGTGAGTTGTTCTTACTGGATGTGCAGATAATGGAGAGAGCGGAGATGAGGTCAGGGTCACACAGACGTCACCTGCAGCACTCAGCCAGCAGGAGGGAGGTCAACGCTGCCTGGGTCACCAAGGTCAATGCCCCGCCCAGGAAACAACACAAGGACAACCAGGTAAGAGGTCATATTTGGGTCAGATGTGCTCGGCTTCTTGCCTAAGCATCAACCAGTTAAAAACATTCTCACATTTATATCAGAGATGCTGCTTTTACTAATCTCTTCTAGATGATGCGTTGATACTAATAAAAGGCTCTGGATCCGAGGAATTGGAGCTACCTTCCCCCTTTCCAGTAATATCTTAGTGCTCCCTAAATATACTTTATATGTAATAATATCAGTAATAAATACTAACAAATACATTTTTCCCCTAATAAGTGTAAGGTTGCATGATTGTTGCTCGTAATGACATAACTATAGATATATATGAATAAAAGTAATAAGATTTATTCAGGTTTCCTTTTAGTGTTGTACTTCATCAGCTATTAAACATTCGGTGAGTCGAATTGTTGCCGAGATGTGTTATTTACTCATTACCTCAGTCTTGTACTATAGCAAATACATATGACAAGGTATATTCACTGTGAGGTGTATATCTCTGTTTGTGTATGCTGAGAGTTCATTTTAATCCCTATTTTAGGTATTAATGTATCCTTGACTAGTAAATAGATTACACGCGGCATTATTGACCCCTCGTGTAGTCGATAGGCTTTAAACCCCATTAACCTATTGTCCACTACTATCAGCGCCACTAACACCAACACCACAGCCACTGATGTTCCAACCAGCTGCAACCACTTCCATTTATCTTCACCACAGTCACCGTTGCCACCCTCAGCACCAGCACAACTAACTACCACTTCCTCCATAACAGAGGTGCAGCACGGGGCTTCACCAGCAGCCTGGTAACTCCACCAAGCCTACTATGTCCTGGTAAGTTGCCTCTTATTAGTATTCACCTATGTAATATTATGTTAATACGCTTCCAGACTACAGTAACGGTCCATCTTATGAATGATTTAACTTGCTGTTGCTGTCTGACCACCTCATTCTCCAACTCAAACAGCGTGCGTAACACCACCAACCTTCTGAGACTAACGTGTGGTCACAACCTGATATTGCCACCTGTCCTATAATTATAAAAGCAAGTTTAAAACGAATTTTTATGTATTTATTTCTTGCACCATTGTTGATCAGATCCTGATCCACCACGAGGCCTGGTCTCAGACCGGGCCGCGGGGGCGTTGACATCCGAAACCCTCTCCAGGTATACTCCAGGATTGAAATTTCAGTGTAGTGTTAGGTTTTTTTAAATCTCGATTAGGTTAGGCTTCTTAAGGTTAATGTATGTGTGTGTGTGTTTCTGTATAAATTACCCGAATAATAACAAGATTAAGACAGGATGTGGTATTTGCTTTACTACACGCCTTACTGTCTCCAACTCTCTCTCTTAATAATTTGCCTACAATAATAGTGCGAGGCAGTGAGTTGCCGACTGACTGGCGGCTCCCAGGAGACAGGAACTCTTTTTAACACTCAGTTTATAACCTTTAATTCATTATAATGATGCGAGACGTGAGGTACGTTCCCCGTGAATACTTTCCTTACCCATGTGCTGCAAGGGTTAAGAAATTAACCTAATATATGCAACATGAAGGAAATTACAATTATATGTTTATGACAGAGGTATATTTATTCCTAAGAAATAATATATTAATAAAGAAAGGGTTGGAGAGAGGGGGTAAAGGAGGTTTTGTGGGTAAGGGGCTTGGACTTCCAGCAAGCGTGCGTGAGCGTGTTAGGAGTGAATGGAGACGAATGGTACTTGGGACCTGACGATCTGTTGGAGTGTGAGCAGGGTAATATTTAGTGAAGGGATTCAGGGAAACCGGTTATTTTCATATAGTCGGACTTGAGTCCTGGAAATGGGAAGTACAATGCCTGCACTTTAAAGGAGGGGTTTGGGATATTGGCAGTTTGGAGGGATATGTTGTGTATCTTTATATGTGTATGCTTCTAGACTGTTGTATTCTGAGCACCTCTGCAAAAACAGTGATAATGTGCGAGTGTGGTGAAAGTGTTGAATGATGATGAAAGTATTTTCTTTTTGGGGATTTTCTTTCTTTTTTGGGTCACCCTGCCTCGGTGGGAGACGGCCGACTTGTTGAAAATATATATATATATATATATATATATTATATATATATATATATATATATATATATATATATATATATATATATATATATGTGTGTGTGTGTGTGTGTGTGTGTGTGTGTGTGCAATAAGATCACAGTAAACAGGTGTTTTCAGAATATGCAAAACAACCACTCTGAAAGAATAGAGAAATTCCAAGCGCTTTCGTGACTACTCACATTATCAAGGAACTATATATAATGTGAGTAGTCACGAAAGCGCTTGGAATTTCTCTATTCTTTCAGAGTGGTTGTTTTGCATATATATATATAATATATATATATATATTATATATATATATTATATATATATATAATGTGTGTGTGGTGTGTGTGTGTGTGTGTGTGTGTGTGTGTGTGTGTGTGTGTGTGTGTGTGTGTTGTGCAGAACAACCACTGTTAAAGAATAGCGAAATTCCAAGTGCTTTCGTGACTTCTCACATTATCAAGGAACTATATAATTTGAGAAGTCACGAAAGCGCTTGGAATTTGACTATTTTTTCACAGTGGTTGGGAACCTTTATTTTTCAAACAACGTGTAAAAGTGAAACATATGCCTAATTTCAGTTAATATAGTTAACACTGACATAATAAATATATGTAAAGAATATGTTTCCATTTTCTCAATAGGATCTTGGGTCGGCTGACGAGGCTACAAGAGAGCTCAGAGCAGAGAGAGGTTCAGCCAGCGTCCCCGGAACACCAACTTTACTACCACAGTCCAGCTCGACACAACACAGGTGTCTCGAACTTCCAGCTTGATGCCTTCGACTACTCTAGGGAGGACATGGCTGACAAAATCTTGGAGACGATGCAAGGTCTTCGATTCCGTGGCGTGTCTGTGAGTATTTTCATGGTATTGATCTTGTTTAGCGTCTAGTATCTGTGGATATGTTCAAGATAAAATGATTGTTTAGCTTGTAATATCTTCTGTATATCTGTGAGTCTCTACGACACTGGGCTTGTTTAGTGTCCGATAATTGCAGTGTATCTGCGAGTATCACGTCCCCAGTTACCCTACACATGGCCAGTCTATAATATCACATTTTAATCAACGTTATTACTTATAATTATTACATCCAAAACTTAATCTTAACGCTAAATATTGCTACATGAAAAAATAAATCAGAGTAATAGTTGTTCCACTCACTGCTGTTCCACTCACTGCCCCTCCGGCGGTGTCCAGGCTTACCTTCCGAACACAGTTCTCAATGCAGTTTTGTCCATAAAAGCCTCATTACTGCGGAAACATTAACTCTGTGAAACAATTGCACTTTTCACATCGCAGCTTGTCGTAAACACATGGTTGGTTGGTTAGTGGCGTTTTAAGCCTATCGACTGCACGAGGGTAATTAAGGCTCTGTTTAACTTGTTCACCGTGAATCAAGAAAACGTAAACGTAAATATTCATCCGTTTATTGCATATTTATATCTTAATGGTATGTTAACTCCATTATTCTCCCCTTTTTGAATAGTTATTTATCTCTGCAATATGTACTCGGATGTCAATACACCATATACTTCCTTTCATTTAGGGAATGAAAGCAGGGCAGACTGCTCTGTTTTCTCCTGTTTTCTCACACACACACATTATATATATATATATATATATATATATATATATATATATATATATATATATATATATATATATATTTATTTGCAGCCTCCCCTCGTCAGGAATCATTGCTCAGCATCCTTCCTCTGCTCATCCTGTCCTCAATGTTTTGATGCTATTCAGTCCCCTGGGTAAGCCTATCCGTGCCCAGCCGTCTGGGGATCGTTGCAAACTCTATACATACCAACACACTCCCCTCAAATATTCCTCCTAACTCGTAATAGTAAAGCTCTTTCCGCTATTTACATCAGCAGATAACACAAACCTGGATTGGGAATCACAGACTTCATCGCGGATTTATTCTAGAGGAAATAGAGGAGTCTTGCGCTAGGCTAGTCTTTAAAATTTTCTTAATGCCGGTCAAGGGTTGTTCATGAATGGTATACAATATCGACAAGATGAAAAATAGACATATCAAGATGTTGCACATGTATCTAATTTTCGGTTATGGGTTATTGATTCAAGGAATTGGATTAAACCTGATTATTTCTTCTTCCCCCTCGCGCTAATGGTTTACAGCTAATGGGTTTAGAGCTTCCGTATGCTAATAATAGAGGTAATTACAGTAATCTGCTGGAAACTTCAAGTGTTGACGAAATTATCAGCCTTGACATAAACATTTGGAGAAGCAGGATATGAACAAAGCAAGTGGACCGGATGAAATACCTACCAGGATTATAACAGAATGAATATACCAAACCGCTTTTCCACTGGCGGTAATAGTTAGCAAACCATTACAAGAAGGTAAGGTGCGTTTACCCTAGAATCTAGCTAGCATATGTTTCCCTTATAGTTAAGAAAGGTGACAATATTTGTGTCACCACTATCATCACATCAGCTTAAATTATATTTTAGGTAAACAGTTGGAGACCATTATTATGGTCATACACAGATAATAATCGATAGTCCTTAATAGTCTTTGATATAAACAAAAGTAGGCAGTTCTGAGCAGACAGCCATGGTGTGAGCTTCCAAGCGCTTTGCTGTTTTCCCATGTATTCCTATACACAGTAGCTGTTAGCTATTGTGTATACAATGGCTATTAGCGGGTTTTCTTCACATTCATCACTAGTTAATAATTTGTAGAATAAAATTAAATGTAAAAAATTACACTGGAGATAGTGTGTGTGTGTGTGTGTGTGTGTGTGTGTGTGTGTGTGTGTGTGTGTGTGTGTGTGTGTGTGTGTGTGTGTGTGTGTGTGTGTGTGTGCGCGCGTGTTCATGTGTGAGTGAAATGGTAAAAATATAGTGCAGACAGTTGCTGCAGCATCCTAATGGTCCATTAGGTCTTAAATAAGAGTATATATTCTGGCAGCTGTTCCTCAAGAAGTCCTTGTGTTGTGGGGCTCTTGATTTAGGGAATTGGATCTGTCTCAATGTCCCCAATATAAGTCTAGAATGCCTTCCAACCCCCCCAGGCCTGTAATCTGTTTAGCTCCCCAGTTATATTTGATAGTTATTATGGCAGCGTTCAAAACTGCGTCGAGCAAACTGTTTCGCGTCTGGATTTGTTATTTTAATGTTAGAGAGCCCTGGTTATTTTTGCAGCAGTTAACTGTTGAAGAGTTAATTTGAGAATCTAGAAGCGTCAGCAGTTGTTCTTTTTTTTTTTTTTTTTTAGGTTACAATAGTGAAGAAACTAAATAACGTTTGAGACGTAGTGAAACATTACCATTGCTGAACAACCATTTGGTCTGACATACTTTTAGCTTGGAAATATCAAGTATAAGATTAAAATACGTTATATCCTACCTAAAGTTTGTTCTGCAACATTAACAAAAAAGTGTGTTCTCTTCACGTATGATGTGCTGTTGTGTAAAGCTCTCCAGAAAGTAAGAGCAAGACTCTGAGAGTAATCATGTTTATAAGTAGCAAGCAGCAGTTGTTGACTATCTTGGTTATTATATAGTGAATCAAGTGTACCCGGTCAGTCTTTAAGTGAATTCATGTTGGATCGTGTTACTGGTGTTGCTGCATGACCATTGTTGACCTCTAGTTAATCTAGTGTTGAACTTTAGCTCACGTAGTGTTGCCCTTGACCTATGTAATAGTGACCTCTAGCTCCTGTATTCTTTACTTCTAGCCAATTTATTACTGACCTTCAGCTTTTGTAGTTCGGCCTGTAACCTCTCTTGTGTTGACCTCTAGCTGCTGGAGTATTTGAGACTGCATGACTCAATTTTAACTTCTAGTGCACGTTTAAATGGTCATAGTTAACTAAATAACAAAAAGGCACAATACCGTGACTGGAACGATACACAAATAACCCGCACATAAAAGAGAGAAGCTTACGACGACGTTTCGGTCCGACTTGGACCATTGACAAAGTCAATGTCAATGGTCCAAGTCGGACCGAAACGTCGTCGTAAGCTTCTCTCTTTTATGTGCGGGTTATTTGTGTGTCATAGTTAACTATTAAGTTTCAACATAGACTAGGTAATGCAGAGGCTTCCATTTGTTAGCAGTATTGCTAATGGGTCCTACAATGAACTGTACTGCTCTACGTAAAACATTAATGTACCAATAGTCTCAATCCGAGTGTAATGGCGATATCATGTTAATTTTGGGGCCCTATGCCAATATTGCTGAAGCTTAGTGTTATACCTCATTCGATTGTGCTCAAACCGAAGCTAATTAAACCTAATTTTATGTAGAATCTCCCTGGAAACTGCAGTTCGGTAGTGAATTACGGTCAGGAGTGTTGGGCAATTAATAACGTTGGAATGTCCTCATTAAATTAGTAGGTTGAACCAAGCCTCTGTCTGAAGTGCGGGGAATAATATTAATCAGGATAGCAGGGAACAAACACACATTGGATAAATATTGACTGTGTCAGAATTATTTTTTTTATTAACATGACTTAATTAACTTTGCCTGCTGATTCTAGGCTATAATGTCTAATATACTTTGATTAAATTGCATTATAAATTTGATATGGTTCTATCTTTTCCTGTAAACTGAAATGTGCAAGAAGTTTACGTTATAATTATATAAGCTGAATGATAAAGTAAGATTAACAAGAAGAGAAATACCGGACCAAACGACTAGCAATGATTTTGAACGAATTTTCAAAAACTTCAATAAATAAGGAATTTTTTGTTCAAAATCTTTGGAAGTTTCCGATCATGGAATAGTAACTGCCTTTATTAGCATAATTTTCGATAATCGCGAAATATAAATAAAAAAAATGTTTTTTAATTAGTATTTAATTTACTGTCGATATTTGAAGTTGATTTAAAAATTGATGATTTTTAATTTTCACATCGAGCCGAAATCTATAGGAATCATATATGTCTCATAGGGACATATGATTCCTATGGGGTCATATATGCCCCTATAGGGTCATCCATGACCCTATGAGTCTTATAGAGCCTGACTGTCGTTGAGCAGGACGCGCCTCAGGGGCTAGACAACCCCATGAGTGTACTTGACGATAATCTACTCGTCTGACGAGTGTCTTTTACTGTATAAATTTCCAAACTAAAGGAACTCCTGCTCTGCTAATACAAGCTTTTTTTTTAAGCTTCTAGAGCAGTCGAACCCAGAGTGCTTGATGATATCCTCGTAGTCCTGGTGCTCAGGTTGACAGATTTCATTACCCACTTATGGAACTCATACTGCGTGTTGGAATGTGTCTTGGAAACAGCATGCTGTATGTTCCTGCATGTGTTAGCGAAGCTGTGGCGGTCCACCACATTTCCCATAGTCTCTAAATCGGATTAAGGGTTTGCTGCGTTAGTGTGTCTCAGATTTAGGCAGAGTGGACTGCAATACGTCTCTTTCGAGGGCGAGATGTGCCTCACACGTGACCGCTGTACCACCGTCATTTAAAGAGTCCAAAAGACTAGGTAAGTACAGTTAACCAGCGTGCCTTTCGCGATTAGTAGACGGATGATCGAGTCTTCACTGCCTCTGTGCGCTGAACGGGGTACATAGGTTCACCTTATCCTCAAACTCATAACTTAATTTTATTCTCCTCTCTCGCTCTTCAACATTCAACTTCTCTACACAGCTACTTTTAGTCCTTTAATAACACTGATGTTGTCTGATCTTAAGGACGTACCTCCCTCTACAGTTTTCAATCCAGTGGACTCCTACACCCTCCCTTCACAGTTTCAGATCCTAAAGATTCCTATTGGCTTCATCCCACTGTCTGCTTCGTGCTCTCTCCAGAGTGTCTTGGACCCATCTAACAAGTTTTTTTTTTTTCTCTCTTTCAGGGACCAATCTCCTTCGACTGTCCAGACCGTGTAGGGGTCACCGCTTTCTACCAGATCCAAGGTAAGTGCAGTATAATGATACGTATTCCCTTCTTCCCTTTCCCATTCCCATCACCCACTTCCCCTGCTTCCTATTCCCATCTCCCCCCTCCTCCCGCTCCAATTCCCATCACCCTGCCCCTCTTCTCATCTCGTTAGCTCCACAACAAACACTGACGGTTCAGCGTGATTGAAAATGTTGTGGAATTGTTTTTTTTTTTTTTTTAGCCTTTCAAAAAGAGGTGATGATATTGCCAGTTGTTTTCTCTTTTTTTTTTTTTCATTTGCGCATTATTTCCCAATCTGCGCATTAGCTCACTCTGTGGATATAACTAGTGAGCAGCTTCAACTGTGTTTGTTGATGGCCGCTAACCTACAAACAAAAATGAATTAAACCTTTAAACTGTGTATGTATGTGTGTGTGTAATATAATATAATATATATATATATATATATATATATATATATATATATATATATATATATATATATATATATATATATATATATATATATATATATATATAATATACGTATATATGAATGACATGGGTTCAAGTCCTCGGCTAGTCGCAATGTTGTTATTGATTAAATACCACTCGTTCGTGGTTACAATTATATAACAATTATAAAAGAATTCTTCCTCCTTAAATTTAACCACGCGTGTTGTAAGAGGCGACTAAAATGCCGGCAGCAAGGATTAGTAACCTCTTCTTATGTATAAATTACTAAATATAAAAAGAAAACTTTTCGTTTTTTTCTTTTAGGTCACCGCCTGCGGCCGGTGTGTTAAAAAAATAATATATATAACGTGTTAAGTAATTACTAACACGAAGAGAGAAACACAGAAAGTAAGGATGGTCTGTATATGTCGTTCCTGCTGAAGAGGAGTCCAGTTGGGGGTCGAAATATACAGATTATCTGTTGTGTTTCTACCCCCGTGTTGGTTATTACTTGACATCGAACTAGTAAAATGTAAAAAATAGAGATATCAGTATTATTAAAAATAATGAAATAGTTTTATATTTTGAGTTAAGATGCATGAGATGTGCAGAGAAAAAGAACGTTAAACACATGTGAGCCAAAGATTGAGCAAGTCGCCATGATGGTGAGCAAGCTATTGTCTCCACCACTGTTCTCTCTCTCTCTCTCACACACGCACACTGGTAGTTTTCTCTTGGCTAAGATTATTTTCACTTTTGTCTCTTCTGGAATAAAGTGGACTAGTTCTAGGAGGATGTTTGTTGCGTGATACACACACACACACACACACTGGACGACACTGGAGGACAGGAGAGATAAGGGGGACGTGATAACGACATACAAAATACTGAGAGGAATTGACAAGGTGGACAAAGACAGAATGTTCCAGAGATGGGACACAGCAACAAGGGGACACAGTTGGAAGTTGAAGACACAGATGAATCACAGGGATGTTAGGAAGTATTTCTTCAGTAACAGAGTAGTCAGGAAGTGGAATAGTGTGGGAAGCGATGTAGTGGAGGCAGGATCCATACATAGCTTTAAGCATTAGTATGATGAAGCTCACGGTTCATGGAGAGTGACCTAGTAAAGACCAGTGAAGAGGCGGGGCCAGGAGCTAGGACTCGACCCCTGCAACCTCAACTAGGTGAGTACACACACATCAGGGCCAGGAGCTATGTCTCGACCCCTACAACCACAAATACGTAAGTACACATGTACATTTAAGAGATGGGAAATAGGAACAAGAAGACACAGCTGGAAGTTGAAAGCTCAGATGAGTCATAGGGATGTTAGGAAGTATTTCTTCAGCCTTAGAGTTGTCAGGAAGTGGAAAAATCTGGAAAGTGAAGTGGTAGAGGCGGAACTCATACATAACTTAAAGAAGTGACACTATAAGGCTCTTGAAGCCAGTAGAGAGTGGACCTAGTAGCGACCAGCGAAGAGGCTTGGCCAGGAGCTGTGAATCGACCCCTGCAACCACATATAGGTGAATACACACACGTGCCACAGTTGTCCAACAAGACGAATTTTCTGAATAGTAAATTAATGTGATTTTCCTCTGTTAGATTGATAGACATTGTCCTGTGAAGTTACATGGTGTGTTAAAGGAGGTTAGTATTCCATATTTTCTGGCATATAAGACGCGCTTTTTCTACAGTCTTGGAAAATCAGCCTGCGCCTTATATGCTCAAGGTCAGGGTCAAGGGTAGGCTTTGGGTTACGCTTTAGCAGTTGTTTACTGAAGTTACGTTAGTAAATAACTGCTCTTGCGTGTTATATGCCGGAAAATACGGTAATTAAACTTAAACCTGCCAAACCCGTGTGAAGTCAGGCTAAATAATATTTAGTATTATTTACCATCAATATCCGCATTACAGGAATTATAACTTCAGAAGTCGTAGAAAGTAATTTGAGTGTTTAAACTTATACATATCAATGAAAGTCTTTCGTTCGTCCTCCAGGTCTGCAGTTTTCCCTTCAAGCGAGGCCCAGTGTACACAGAATACACATCACTTTTTAGAGAAGGTGGAGGGGTAAGCCAGCGGAAGGCTTCAGTCGGATGACCAAAAGTTCCAGTGGCAAGTTATTATATGATTAAGACAGGCGTCAGGAAACAATTGTCCTGTTTCCTAACGAATTTTACCTAACCTAGTATAAATAACAAAAAAGGCACAATACCGTGACTGGAACGATACACAAATAACCCGCACATAAAAGAGAGAAGCTTACGACGACGTTTCGGTCCGACTTGGACCATTGACAAAGTCACACTAACCAGAACTGAACTGAACTGAGGACTCACAGGTAAGAGCCCACTAGGGGCGAGGGGCAAGTGGGGACAGGATGAAGAAGATAGTTGTAGAGAGGAAAAAATCTTAAGAAGGAGGAAGTGTCAGGACTATACCCAACTGCTAATCAAAGAAAACATAATATTTAGCATTATCTCTCTCGTGAGCATATCAACTCGCAATGACTGGATACGGCTCAGGGACATGTTACTGCAAAAGGCAACGCAAACGCACGTCGCAAGCACTTCAGCTCGAAACGCACAAAGACACAGCTCTACGACAGTGGCACTTTTAAGTTATTTGAATATTTAAGCTAAATAAGTCAGGTAGTTTATTTGTATTGTGGTGGAGGTGCCGGATCATACAACGTTTGAAAAAGATTTACATCATTGTAAGGACGTCTGAGAGTATCAGCTAAGTATGTAGTCCAGTGGTCATGATATGCTTCAAGTCTGTCAAGTTGTTTGTCACTGAGTGTCTTCCAGTATACGTTCAAAGCTGGTGTGTTTGTCGTGAGGTGGAGAGATTCACTGGTGGCAAATTCGTCCCACCTCACTCCCAACACCCAACGTAATGCTCGATTCTGGATGCGTTGGAATTTTAGTGCGTTTGTCTTGGCGGTTAATGTCAGAGCGAGTGGAGAGTAAGAGAGTAGAGGACGAATGAGTGCTTTGTAGAGATGTAGTTTTGTCTTGGGACTGGCTCCTCTCAGCTTATATAACCTTGAGAGTGCAATTCCCGCCTGTGTGGTCTTAGCAGTAATGTGAGATTTTAGGTTCAGTGTGTTGTCGAGGGTAACACCAAGGACAACTGTCGAGAAGGAGCGTGGGATGGGGGTACGGGAGGTGCTTGTTTTGAGTTCGACAGGAGTCGGAACATCACGCATTCTATGGAAGTAAGTGATCTTTGACTTATTTGGGTTGGTTTTGATGCGCCATAATAATTCCCAGGCGGTAATCCTGTCGACCTCTCTTTGTGTTCTGCGTGCTAGGAAACGAATGTTTTCATGTGTTGTGAGTCGAGTGATGTCGTCTGCGTAAGAAAGGGTAAGTGTGTTTGGGTAAAGAGGTTCAGATAAATCATTCGTGTAGAGTATATATAGGGTGGGAGACAGGACAGAGCCTTGGGGTACACCCGCTTTTAATGTGAAATAGTCTGAATAATGATCTCTGAACCGTATACGCATCGTTCGGCCATCTAAAAAGTTACATAATAATTTCATTATATTTACAGTTAATTCAAAGGACGTGCAAAGTTTGTATTTTAATCCTTCATGCCAAACAGTGTCAAAAGCTTTCTCAACATCTTTGGCGACAAGGGTGGAGGTACAGTTCTGGGCTTTATTGATACGTACATAGTTCAGGATTATATTCAAAACGTCTTGGGTAGAACGTTGTTGTCGGAAACCGAATTGTCTTTCAGTAAGGAAGTTATTTGTCTCTAGGTGAGTCTTGAGTCGCATATTTACAAGTCGTTCAAAGGTCTTACCCAAAATTTCAAGGAGGCTAATAGGTCTATAGTTCTTGGGGTCAGTCAAGTCTTTTCCAGGTTTTGGTATGAGACATGCAGTTGCAGATTTAAAGAATGGAGGGAAATAGCCAGATGCAAGGGAGGCATTAAAGAGGTCAGTGATAGCGGAAGCAACAGAAAGTGGAAGGTGACGAAGGACTGAATGTGATAGACCAGAAGCACCTGGAGCTTTTTTTGGAAGGTGTGTTAGTAAAGAGTGAACATCATCTACAGTAAAAGGAGAGTTTAGAGGATGCGTGGAAGATAGGGTATTTAGGCTTATGATTGGATCAGGATTGGTTAAATCTTCATGGTTGGATACCCATCTCTCTATGTCTAATGTATGTGCTATGACAGCTTGGTCTGGTGGATGTGGGTGGAAGATGTTTTCCCATATGTCTTTGAAAATATGTACCGCTTCAGCAGGGTCAGAGATCTGTCTGTTGTTGTGATTTATGTGTCTAAGGGTTGTGGATCGAGGGGTGCCTGTAAGTCTCCGAATGGATGACCAGAATGCTTTGGGATCTCTTGTACACTGGACATCTGTTGTGTTTATAACTGATTGCCAATGTCGGGCATGGTCATCATCTAGGCTATGGATGATATGTGTACGTAAAATAGTGAGGTCCCATCGGATATTTAGTCTGTTTTGGTTTGCTAGGAAACGGTGTCTGTAACATGTGAGTAGTCTTTTTGTTCTTTCTGATGGGCGGAAAGAGTAACGTACTTTGTGGTGTGTCATTGGAACAACCTCTGTAGCGGCTTGGGTAATTGATTGTTGAATGCGTTGAATTTGTGTGTCTATGTCTGATATTGGTCTATTGTCATAGTTGTGTGTGAGATCAAGAGTGTTTCGGCTTTGTTTGAACAGATCCAATCCGCCTGAGAAGAAGCTGGAGAGGGGGGAACTGGAATGAGTATAGGATTTGAGGAAATATGGAAAATGATAGGAATGTGGTCAGATCCAGAGAGCGGCCCTGGTGTTGTTTTAGTGATGTAAGCGTTTACTAGCTCTGTTGTAAAATTTTTTATCAGGGTGCCTTGGCCATTGTATGTAAAGATTTGTTGGGAAGTAAGGTCCAAGGTGTATGAGATGTTTCTGTGTTACAAGTGTATGAAGTTGCCTACCATGCAAACTTGTGGAGTTGTCATGGAAGTCAGTGTGTTTGGCATTGAGGTCGGCAAGTAGGTATACAGGGAGATGTGTGTGATTAAAAAGAATGGTTAAATCATGAATGTTAATGTTTTGGTTGGGTCTGGTATATGTCGTGTACAGGATGATGGGTCCGTGTATCGTGTAAATTTTCACAGCCATGCTGTGAGAATATGTAAATGGAAGAGATAAGAACTCATGTTTAATGGTGCCTTTAACAAGAATAGCTACGCCATTCCAGTTTTCAGCAGGGGATTGACGGGCTGTATATCCACGTTGATCATCACGCACACACGTGCTGATGAAATTAAGATACATGTGCAACATCTGGGTATCTTTATTGTAGACGTTTCGCCATCCAGTGGCTTTATCAATACAAATTCTAGGACATAGCTTGAAGACAGTAGAACTATGTACAACACGTCTGGTTGTCTAACCAGAAGTGGAGCAGGACGGCTATATATAGGCAGGAAGAGGTGGTGGTAGTAGTAGTAGTAGTAGTACAAGAATGGTATATAATACCGACAAGATGAAATTAAGACACATGCGCAACACCCGGGCATCCCTATCGTAGACGTTTCGCCATCCAGCCAGCCACTGGATGGCGAAACGTCCACAACAAAGACAACCAGACGCCGCACATGTCTTAATTTCATCAGTAGTTGTAGTAGTAGTAGTAGTAGAATAGGTAGTAGTAGTGGTAGTGGTAGAAGTGGGGAATAAGGAGGACGAGCCAGTCAAATACAAAGGAAGGGGAGCTAGGTGCCCACTGAGGGAGAGCAAGCGCACAGAGGTGCGTGAAAGGGGAAGTGGTGAAATAAATGAAGAAGGAACAGAAACACGAGACAGAAGAGAGAAAGACAACCCAGAGGAGAAAAGGAAAGAGGAAAGGGGAAGAGGGAGAAGAAGAAAAAGAAAAAGAAAAAATGAGGAGTCAGGTTAAGTCACGGGTGTATCTAACCTAGTACACAAGATACATACACCAGCAGGTGTTTCTAGTGTATGTATATATATATATATATATATATATATATATATATATATATATATATATATATATATATATATATATATATATAATATATATAATATATATATATATATATATATAATATATATATATATATATATATATATATATATATATAATGTGTGTGTTAAGAATTTTATTCTACTTTTGGGAATAAAATATTCTTGACTGGTGGTGAACAGGTAACCTGCGTGTAGTCGAGAGGCTTTAACCCCATCTACTAACCAACATCAGCATTCCTCTCTCTCTACGGAGTTTAGTGTATGATCATTGGCTTGCAATCTCTTGTTGCAAAAGCATATTCAGCTTATTATTTGCAGTTATGATAGTAACTGTGTTCCTTGATCGTTTGACCTGACTTGGTTACTCCTGAGTCGTTTACACGTTTTCTTCTCTGTTCAGTGGTTTGATTGCTTTGTCTATCATATTCCTTGTTTTATTCTGTATTCTGTATTATTCTGTATTCTGAAGACCAGGGCAATTTTTATCTCGTTGTGCTCTAATTATCGTTTGTTTATGAAATATTAATTTTATCTGTTCAGTTTTTTATTACATAAGTTATTCAGTGTTAAATGGGTTGTACATTAAAGGCAGATAATTTTTCGGATAAATGGGGATACAGTTAGCCAAGAAAGTAAGCAAACCTAACCTATAATTTAACTCCTAATTTACATTGGGTTACGTTATCTTGGGTTAAGTTGGGTTTCTGTTTCGAGTTACTAAAAAAAAAAACGTAGATTTCCTATAGGCCTAAAATAAAATTATTTCATTGTACAAGCCACTTAATGTTAGAAAATTTGCATAATAAATTACTGTCAGGTAGAAGCTAAACTTAGTATTGACTGTTTATTTATTTTTTTGACGTACAGATGGTGACCCAGTAAAGGTGGCACTGTACCACCCGGAGGAGAGGGCACTGGACCTGGGTTGTCCCGGGTGCCGGGTACTGGTGTGGCCCGGTGGACAGGTGCCGGCATCTCGTGTCTTCAAACTACGGGTAGACACCATCGCTCCGGCTGCCTTCGTTATCATGTCTTCTCTCGCTAGCCTGGGCATTCTTCTGGCGCTGGCATTCCTCATCTTCAACCTCACCTACCGTAGACTCAAGTATGTATGTAATGATCTATTTCATTTTTAAAAGGGTGGAGGGGTAAGCCAGCGGGAAGCCCGTGGCCTGGTAGGCAAAGCTCTCGCTTCACACGCTGAGGGCCCGTGGCTCGATTCCCGGCAAGGGTGGAAACATTGGGCGTGTTGCCTTACACCTGCTGTTCCTATTCGCCCATCAGTAAAATGGGTACCTGGGTGTTAGTCGACTGATGTGGATAGCATCCTGGGACAAAATTGATATAATTTGCGGGAAATGCTCTGCATAACAAGCCTGTATACCTTGTACATGTACTTGTAGAAATAAAGATATTATTATATTATTATTATAAGGCCTCGGTCAGATGACCAAAAGCTCCAGTTGTGGGTCGTCATATGACTAAGACCCGCGTCAGGAAACACGTGTGTTATTTCCTGACAAATCTTACATAACCTAACCTCATGTAAGTACCTGGACCATAAAATTAAACACTTTTGCATATATTCTGATGAGTATGTATCTGGATGTGCGTATACACTGATAAAAACAATATATGTACACATGGAGTGTTATATATATCAGTGTACACGAATAACCAACACATAGGAGAAAGAAACTTATGACCAGGTTTTGGCCCGACTTGAACCATTAACTAGTCATTAAATGTCGTCATGAGTTTCTCCTGTTTGCTGAGGTTATTTGTGTATTGTTCCAGTCACGGTATTGTGCCTTTTTGTTCTTTATCTCATACACGAATACGTCTATATATGGGATGAAAGTATTGTTGACTGGTGGTGAACAGGTGACACTCAGACTTGACGAGTGTTGTCTTACCCTTCTCTCTTCCAAGACTGTAAGATATATTCTTTAAATTTCTTCTCATAGTCCACTACATATTGCGCGTGTGTGTGTGTGTGTGGGGTTGTGTACGGATGTTCGTGTCATAGCAATACACTAAGCATGTACGTGTGTGTGTGTACTCGGCAGATACATCAAACTGTCCAGTCCTCGCCTCAACAACACAACAGTGGTTGGGTGTGTGTTGGTGTACACTGCTGTCATTTTACTGGGACTGGACCACGCTACCCTCCCAGCACCACACTGTTTCCCTGTCGTCTGTACCGTAAGTCTCTCCCTTTTTTTTTTTTTTATGTCCGATTCTCCCGTCTTCTCTGTCTTGGTGAGCCTTCGTATATTTCTCAGCCCTAGCATGACTCGTTTCTCCTCTACTCTAATGAATTTCTAGTCTCTCCTCTGCCCTAACATTGACCTGACTGGATTATCGTAGGTTTAATTTACTTGTATTCCCCAGATATATATGTGCCTTCTAAACCATTCCAAAAAAAATTATATATACCCAAAGTCTAAATATTTTTGCCAATCCTTTGGTACCTTCCCTTCTATCGTATACACATTATCCAAATATGCCAACCATATCAACAGATTATTCACACATGCTTTTCCTCGTATATTTGTGTGTATATATATATATATATATATATATATATATATATATATATATAAGAGAGAGAGAGAGAGAGAGAGAGAGAGAGAGGTACCACCTCTAGAACTGCCCTGGGGACCCTCATCCTCAGAGAATAGAATAAACTTGCTTCAGGGAAAACTCGAGGTTCTCCCTGAAGCTGTTTGAGAATTTTCTCCTACCACCCCCTATATTTAATATATATTTTATTTAAATACAAAATACATTGACAAAACATTCACAAAAATACAATAGAAAGTAAAACAATCTAGATAACAACTCAGAGCTACATCTCGAATACTTCGTCCAGCTCCCCGACGGTGGGCCGCGTGCCCAGAATGCTGCAGGCATTTCCTCTCTGGATCGCGACACTCTCTGAAAGAGGAAGCTGCTCGCCCTGTGGTCCTTGGTTTCTATGATGAGCTTTTCACCCAGCTCTTTGAGGAACTTTAGTGCACACTTGCCCCATGCCCCAAGGGTCTCCGACCCTATTGGGATGAACTTATAGCAAGGGGGAAGGTCTTCATATTTGCGGATCTTCTGGGTCTCCCTGTGGCTGGCAGCTCCACCCCCTTCAGCTATGGAGTATGGCAAGTAGGTGTCTGCCAATGTGGCGGCACAGGTGTAGTCTCAGGCAATCTGCTTTCCATCTTTCCAGGGTAGCATAGTGGCTCCATCAGGACGCTTTTGACTTCTGTCAGACCTCCGCACTTGGGGTTCACGTTGAGATGGGCAACAGACTGTGGCGAGGCTTCTCTTTATGATGTCATTACCTCCTCATGTCAGGCATACTTCCCTTCTGCTGTGTGACACACGAGACCATGAAGTCCGAATTGATCAGCTGTCGCCCTGCCGCAAATACACCTATGTTCGATGAGGATGGGGGCGGCTAGGCAAAGAGCAACATCAGTCCGAATGGCCTGTGGGTCGAGTCGAGTGCCCAGGGAGGAACTGGGAACAGCTAGAAGGAAATCTCCTGAGTGTGGTGCCTTCACCGCCAGGAGACGAGCTTTGTCTTTTCCTGAAGGGTTGATGAGCATTGTGTTGGCGATTTTTTTCATGATCGGTTTGTCCCAGTGGGACTGTTTGTGCTCTTTGGAAGGAGCTGGTCTACTGGAGGAGTCTGCAAGGGTGTCCCACCGCATCGCTGCTTCAGTAAACCTGGGGTCTTGAGCTTCTACCACGTCTCTCAAGCATTCGGGGACAATCTTCTTGACTAGTGCACTGGAAGCCAAACACGAAGACAGAAAAGCAGGTAAAGCAACATGCATTGCTTTGCGCACTCCTATACCTCCCAGTCGCACTGGGAGGGTTGCCTGATCCCATTGCTGATCGTCTAGTGACAGATTCAGGGCCTTCTTAAAGGTTGATCTCAGGTATGCATCATATTCGTCGAGTGTTGGGTTATCAAAAGAGGGTGCACACCTCAGGAAGAGAATCTTGGCATAGTGAGACACCTTGTGAGGAGATACAGAGCATCATGGGCATCAAGATCGCTTATTCTCTCTATTCTCATCAGGTCATTCAATTTTTCCTTGAGGACAGTGCCGATGGCCTGGTGACCCAGCGGTGCTCCCAAGAGGGTACTGTTGGACGCAGTGGTAGTAGACTTTTTCTGGAGGATTCTTCGCACGGCCTTGATTATTTCCTGGTTCGCTGTGATGATTTCACACTTGGAGTGATTGAGGATGAGTCCCAAGTCTTCTCTCTGTGTTTTCACCAGTTGTAGGTCCTCTAACAGGGACTCTTCAGTACCTGTCAGAGTGCCATCATCCAGGTACCAGATATTCAGCTCGCTGCATAGGCTGGAAGTTAGTTCTCTTACTGCCAAGCAGAAGAGAAGTGGAGCGAGTGGGTCACCTTGCTGAACACCCTCTGATGAGAGAATTTCATGCTCTCCAAACAAAAGAATTGAAGATTTGCTGTAGCCGGCTGAAATGAAGGGAAAAGGGCTAGGGAACCGATCCCGAACGGCCGGCAAGACATCTCTCTTCACCATATTAAAGGCATTTCTAATATCAAGGAACAACAAAAGTAATGCATCAAAGGAAGGCATATAAAGGGTCTAGACCACACCTCACCATCACATCCCACAACAAAGCAACACCTGATGCGCGACGACACGCGACTCATAAGAAAGAGAACACTGCAGTAGGCCTGCTGGCCCAACTAGACAGGTCCTTCATGGCAACCCTCAAACAAAATATTCTACCCAAGTAGATTATTATTTGTCCAATGTATTATTAAATTCTTCCCAAATTCTTTTAATTATAAATGGATCTAATTTATATAACCCAGAGGAAATATTCATAATATTTTCAAAACTGCTTTTTATGAAACAAAATTCAATTATATTCTTGTCGACCATGGACTTGATACAGTTTTCTCAACTTTTTGAAGATCAATTGGTTAAAATCTCTCACATGAATAAATAGAGCATTGGAATCTTGGCCAGTTCTAATGCTATATTTATGTTGTTTTAATCTTAGTTCGAGACTTTTACCAGTGTGACCGTAATAAGCTTTATCGCAAATTTTACAAGGAATCTTATAGACACATCCGTCAGCATTTTGGGGGGAATTCTTTATCAAAAGTTTTTTTTTACTGTATCAAGATTTTTAAATACAACTTTGATATTAAAAGTCTTAAGAAGAGAAGGCATATCAACCAGTTTTGATGGTAAGGGAGAACCAACATATTTTTAGTTGAATGAGGCTGGTTGTCCCTTTTTGGATTGTAAAAAGTATTTCTAGCAATTTTAAAAGATTTATCAATTACGTTTCTTGGGTATTTCAGATCATTAGCTATTTCCTAAATTTTCGATATTTCTTCATCTATGAACTCTGGACTACAAATTCGTAAAGCTCTCAAAAACATTGACGAGAAAACAGACAGTGTAACTCTATCTTGATGTGAATAATAATAGTGTACATAGGAACAGTTATTTGTAGGTTTTCCGTACATTTTAAATTTCAATTCATTATTACCCTTAATAATGAATTCAAATTTGGAATTTCAATTGGAATTTCACTATTCTTTCACAGTGGTTGTTTTGCATATTCTGAAATCGCCTGTTTACTGTGATCTTATGAACTTTTGCCTTTAAATTTATTATTACTATGTTATTATTCATTTATTTTGGAACGGTTTTCTGTTATTCTATGAAAGTTCACCAGGTGAGAGAGATGTTGTGTTGCAGGCGCGAGCGTACCTGCTCTCAGCTGGGTTCTCCTTGGCCTTTGGTTCCATGTTCACCAAGACTTACCGTGTTCACCAGATCTTCACCAGGTCCAACAGTGCTGGGGTCGTCAGGAATAAGGTTGGTTGTCTTCACTTTTTTTCTTGTTGTTCACTAGCTGGTTGTTATTGTTTATTATTTGGGGTTTTTGTTCAGCTGATACATGCTGTGTTCACCAGCTGATTGTTATGTTCTCCAGCTGGTTTGTTGTGCTCACTAGTTGATTGTTGCAGAGGTCTGGTCTGACCCTGCCTCTCAGCTTGCCAGATTCAATCCATCATAACCTCGTGACCCCTATCTTTCTTGCTTTTAAAGTTATTTGGAGCCTGCCCAGTGTTAATGGTCTCCTTGTTTACCATCCTGCTAAACAAATATAAAAGTTCTCTCGCTGGAGGCAGAACAAATTGTTCGCGTCTAGAATACGACGTGGCGTCAAATTACCTTCGATTAATGGTTTTCAAGATTACCTGAAAGGAATTTAACGACACCAAGACTAGTGTTCCTCTCCCTCCCACTGCTTCTCTCTCTTCAACTTTTATTCACCTTTCTTCACCGGTTGCTTTATTTCCCAAACTTTTCACCTACACCGTACGCTTCTTCAGTTGAATATATAGGCGACTAAAATTGAAGACAAGAGAAGTATTGGAGGGGATAAGACATTATCAAACCATCAGTCTTATCTTGAGTTCTCATTCTCGTCTCAGTGGATCTTTGAACGTCTACGTGAGGTTCATCTCGCTTTATAAATGTATTTTATTAAATAAGCTCATCCACTTGGGATACTAATACCAACAGGTATCTCTGACGAGCGAAGTGGTGTCCCCTGGCTCGTTAGTGAGGACTACAATGGCCTTGTTACCTCAGGATAGTGACTCCGCACCTTAATATCCTACCTTATCCCTTATGTCATCTTCGCCTGATTGCTAAAATCTTCCCCCAAAAGATGTATGATCCCTATGGGTTTAGCGCTGCCCTTGAACGTCATAATAATAATAATCTTTCAAAGGGGGTTCCTTTATGCAAGTGAAGGAATCTTTGCTCTAAGGATTTGTAGCTACCCTTCTCCTTTCCTTGGGTTAAACCTGATAATGTCTCATTCCCCATGCTAAAACAGAGGCTTCTTTCACATTTCAATTCGTTGCTTGCATCTGTTGCAGCTGTTGAAAGACAAGCAGCTGATCACGGTAATCATGGTATTGCTGGCGGTGGACGTGGTAATTGTCAGTGCGTGGGTTAGCGTTGATCCTCTTACCAGACACCTGCATAACCTCACCCTGGAGATGTCCACGGAAGATCGTGGCGTTGTCTACCAACCCCAGGTCAGTCGCTAAAGTCACGTCAAGTTAGGCAGGTCAGTCACCTCAGGTAAGATAGTTACGTCATTTTTTCGATCCTTTGAGGAGGGCGTAGGAAAGTGAGTATGTTGTTCATTGGTTCTCAAACATGGGTTCAACTGGGTTCTATACATACCACTTGTTTGTAAGTCGAAGCACCAATAATACCACTTGTTTGCAGGTTGACGAAACAGGAATTCGTTTGTTAGTTGAGACAAACGGGAACTTTACTCGTTACACAAATAACCCGCACTTACGAGACAAACTTATGCCGACGTTTCGGTCTTACTTTGACCATTATCAAGTCACACAGGAAGTCTACTCGTTTACAAGATAGTATTTAAACTGGCTGGTAGACTCTAGTACTCAAAACGGTGAATTATTCATATTCTTACCTTTCCAAAGGTGTCGACCAGTGACGTCAGTGTCGGCTCTCCCCCCCTCCCCACACACACGTGACCTGGCTTTAGTGATTATATGATGTTTGTATGAAGCGCTAAACCAGTGTTGGTCAGAGCAAGGGGGGTGGCACGGAGGCTCGATCCTACGTGCCACCTATCATGCTTATCTCTGCCTTGGCACTGTCTCTTTTAATTACCTGACATTAATCTTTGATCTGCTGCCTGTTTGGGGAGGAGTATATTGAGAAATGTATTGGATGATCGTGCTGTCTCGTTACTGTATAAAATTAACATGTATTATATGCACTTGTCGTGTTTGTGTGTGTTTGAGTGTGGCACTATGCAAAGTTTACTGCTGTTGAGCGTCACGCGTGTCTACTCGAGTGTCTGGAGGAGAGTGAAGGAGAGAGAGTGGAACTCATCCTTTTTATGTCTCTCTGAGTATACCACAAGATTCACACGTCCTAACTGGCTTTGATGGGCGCCGCCAGCACCACCCATGTGTTGACCACATACTGGTGACCTACCTGAGGTAACACTTAGATCAATATGGTATATATTGTGTATGTTTCGGGTCAGGTGGTGCATGGGCTGGAGAGCTGAGCTCAGTAGTGGCTATATTCTACTTCAGTAAAATTTGTTGGGCAAGTATTTGCGAGGTCATAAAACTGGCTGTCTTCTGAGAGATGGTGTTGGTAGGAGCGAGATGATTCTAACCACCACCTGCGACATAGGGAGGGTCCTTGATGACATTTAGAAAGTTCATGATATTGTTTTGGGCGTTACGTGTAAGGTACAGACGTCCTTTTAAGAATAAGTATCACGTTCCATTATATGACTTCATAATACAGATGTCGTGCCGAATAGGCAGAACTTGCGATTTTGGCTTAAATAGCAACGCTCATCTTGCAATATAGGACAAGTGAAAATTTGTGTATGCAATAATTTCACAGAAATCGTTCTGAACCTAAGGAAAAAAATATATTTCATTGTGTTTGTTTAGTATTAAATTACTGTAAACGTATTTAAAATATATTTAGTTGGGTTAGGCTAAAATAAATTGCACTTGTTATAATAAGGTTAGGTAAGTTTTCTAAGATTCTTTTGGTGCAAAATTAAAAATTTTTACATTAACATTAATGAAAAAAATATATCTTTAAACGTTCAAGAGAAAATTTTAGAAAGGACTTAATTTTAAATGAATTCTTGCTAATTGACCAGTTTTACATATTCGGCACGACATAGACATATGCAACTATATAATATAGGTACATACAGTAAATAAATATGGGTATATATGGCTACATAATAAAATGTAAGTATATGGTTATATGGTTTGATAATATAGGTAAGTAACGAGAGTATATATTATTCATAATATTTTTGAACTACTATTGATGTTCCTCGAATATAACATCACTGCTATGTTACATTCTTGATTTCTATTCCTCAGCTATTTTAATACCTTTTTGTTTTGGTTATTATAAGAGATTATTTTTCTGGTAACATTGCCTTGAAACGAAGATTACAATTGAGATTGTTTAAATTGAAGAATATCCCAAGTTTGGTCACCACCTCAACCACAATCACCATCCCCTCACTACCCTCACCACCACCTTAACTACCACCACACTTGCATCGATCAACACACGTCTAACCACAGGTGGAGGTGTGCAGAAGTGAACACACAAGCGGCTGGCTTGGTGCTCTCTATGTCTACAAGGGTCTACTAGTGGCTGTCGGTGTCTACATGGCTTGGGAGACCAGGTAACTCTCTCTCTCTAATAATCTTTGTATAATTAAGTTTCCATAATTATACGCAGTTTGATTCTATTAAACAGGTTCATTTACATACAGTTATTAATGTCGTAATTAAGCGTGAAGTAATTAATATGGTTTGTGAATTTTTTTTCCTCTAATAAAATGTAACGTAGGAATATTACTTACATAATAGCGACATACGAGGGCGGTACAGCATTCACTACTAAAGACACTTATTCTGCATAAGATTCAGTGTGGTACAGTTTCGCCGTCTGTAAAGCTTTATTACGCCGTTAGCTTGAGCTCTTACTTTACAAAGCTCTTTATTGACTTGACAGTTATCTTTACATAAATGGTATACAGTGCAAACAAGATGAATGAGAGAGATGTGCAACATCTCTCTCATTCATCTTTTCTGGCAAGACGCTTCGCTACGTGTCAGGATTTTTGTTATTATTGCTAATAAAGAAGCGACTATTTTATTGGAGACAGTGGAAGAAGTGGAGAGGAATTTTATGGTATTTAGTCCATTAGCCTTCATAGAAAGTGTTCAGTCACTTAGCCTTTACAAAAAGTGTTCAGTCAGCGTAGATCAAGGCCAAGGGACTGAACATCACAGCCACAGCACCACAACGGTCACTACACCATCTGGGGTCGTACCACAACGGTCACTACACCATCTGGGGTCGTATACACCTGCTGGCTACAACTCTGGCTACCGCTGATAACAGCTGGATGAGATGTCTGGCAGGATCGTGGAGGTGGATTGCGTGTCACAAGGACTGGGTCCAGTGCAAGGAGGTTAATGAGTTGCAATGCTATCTCATACTCTAAAGTACACGGACATGCAACAGAGATGGAAATGTAGATGGAGTTAGAGATGGAAATAAGAGGTAAATACGGTAATGGAGATTAAAATGAGATATTAAAAGTATCGCAGTACTTAGAAGGGAACATTGACAGATTGATAAAGAAAATGCAATTAGCACTCACTGTGGAACTGTGAACTGGTCCAGTAGCCTTTATATTCTTCCCATTGTGTCCAGCTGTGGACACAAAGCGAAGCATAATGACCTTTCCGGCGACGTGGGAAGCGTCGGACCAATCACTGGTCACCAAAAGGACCTCGTACGGCCAATCAGCTCCATCTATTTGTACGTGTCTAAACTAAAGGAACCTGGGTGTGGTTGGCTGCTGAGGGAGTTGGTAGTGTTTAGTCGCTGGAGATGGTTGGTCGTCGGAATAGTTGGCTGTGCTTGGTCGCCTAAGCTGGTTGGTCGCTGGGTAGTTATATTTCGTCATTGGAGTTAGCTATAATATATTTGAAACCTGTTTATTATAACCTCATATATTAGGATTTCACCAATCTATCGTAAATAGCATCATCCATTTGTGTGTGTGTGTGTGTGTGTGTGTGCGCGTGCCCGCGCGTGCCCGCGCGTGCGTGCCTGCTTAAAAACGTGCGTGTGTGTCTAGGTTGGTGATGTGCTTGTACATGTGTGTGCGTGCTCAACACTGTGGTTGTGGGGCTGTATAAGTGCTTGCCTCTGATTGTGAGCGCTTGTGTCCTTGTCATCACCAGCGGTAGTGGTGGTGCTGGTGGCGGTGGAGCTGGTTATTACACTGGTTGTGTCCACCACCACTCTCTACCACAACTATTGCTACCACCAGTACCTCTTCTTCTCCCCATCTTTCTCATCTTTCCTGTCATCTTCCTTCTCATCTTTCCTCGTCAGGACAAAAGTCACATTAGGGACATTATAGTTCAGTCATCTTGTCTCTCAATATTTGTATCACTTTGCTCACCTTCCAAACATTTACATTTCACCCGTCATTAATATTTAGTAAATATCTGCTCGAGTACTTGAACATTCTTTTAGCTCTGTCTCTCTTATTCTCTTCAGTTAGTTAATAATAATACAGTCAAAACTAAGCGCTAAACCCACCAGGGTCATACAGCTTCAGTTAGTTAATTATTGAATCCAACAGTATTTTCTTCAGTATCTGAGGGACCCCGAGTGGATCTTAGTTCATCCAGATTATTTCCCATGACAGTCTATCAACGTATTGTTCTATATTATAGTTAGGGGAAATGTTAAACACGTAGGGGGTCACAGCGCCTCGGAAAATGGGAGGCAGTCGGGTTCTATCTAAGAAAGCTAAGAATAGATTCACTTCCCTAGATCAAAAGCCACTCAAGAAATCTCACTTTTGGTGCTATTTGTCTATTAGTCTCGCTGCAGTGTTTCTGGTGTAGTTACGTGTGGCTCTTCTATTTTAAGTGTTATAATTGCCGTAGATAGTCTGGGACCTATAACAAATGATTCAGTTATGAGCCTGATTAGTCATCATATTCTGGAATTTACATTTTTTTAATATATCGGTTCAAATCGAAATATTTGACCATATCCCTGATAAGAAAGGGATGGAAGAAGGATGGAGAAGGATATAAAGGGATTGAGTAGGTCTGGGGAGGAGAGGACGTTGAAGGAGGAAGGCGATTAAAAGATAAATGGCACATCCACTTTTGATTTTTTACGTGATGTTGAATGTGTGGTTTGATCAACCCTCCATCCTCCTCCTCCCCCACTTCATCCTTTGCTCATCCACCTCCCTATGACTCCACATCTGCAGTATTCCCTAGACAAAACTATACATAGTCATATTGCTGAAGTGTATCTCCTCCATAGCAGTGGTCTGGGATTATCAGTTTACTGCTTCATAGACTTTCTGGGATTTCTTTTTGTATATACAACCTTTGTGAATGGCCCTGTCTACCTTGAGTTTGTTGATTTGTTAATCTGGTTTAAAACCTATCGACTGTACGAGGCACATTGAGGTTGTGCGTAATATATTCATCACCTGTCAAGAATACTTTAAGAGGATTAAAGCAAACTCTCAGTGAATTAAACCTCGCTATGGCTGCTAGTTGTAGTGGGGTTTATGGTATGTTGGGACATGTACGCACAGGTTTCTACCGATGTGAGGGGAAAGGGTGTGAAAGTGCTTTGGGGAGGATATGGGTGTTTTGAAGTTCTCCTGTAGGATACTTGTAGAGAAGTATACGACTTAAGGTAGTGAAGATATTTACTCTGGATAAATAATGGTTAGGTGGTTTGTAGTTGCCCATTGTTTTGTTTTTTTGGGAGGGTCCTTGTTTTAGCAAAATATGATACTTTAGCAGTGTGTTTCTACTTTATTCTATATGAACAAAAGCTGTTTCCCTATTATAATCCATCACACAGAATAGGTTGCATACAGTGCTGAAATATGTCAGCCTCATCTGGGAGACTTCAGTGGGGCAATGAGGATATCGTCAAGTATTCCATTAAAGGTTCATCAGTTACAACAGCTTCAAAGGTTTCCTTCCAGCAGCGCTGAGTTATTATTACTGAGGGTGGAGAGTGGTGGGGTGAATTAAGGTGGGCTACTTTGTAGTTGATCATCACTGGTACAAGGAGGAGGAGGTGGCTGTCACAGATAATATATACGAGCAATTTTGGAGATTGTTGACGGGAGAGCGAGTGGTTAGTGAGAGGGGAATATGTTTGGAGGAGGGGTTGGTTAATGCATATTCTGTTTGCATAGTGTGTTGTTAGGATGAGGCTTTGAGTTGTGTTTTGTTCGTCAGGATCTGTGGAGCTATGGTATTATATATTTTTTTTTTGGGGGGGGAATGAACATTTTATTGTTCTTTGGCAATCTCCTAAGCTTTCTTAAATTTTTGAAAGTCTTCCTAGAATATATTATCAGCTGAATCGCTAAATGCGAGAGGTTTCTTCCCTTGGGGAACATTTGCCAAAAACTAATATAATTTTTTGTTATTTCTTAATATTAAGGTCTATATTTTTCTAGTTAGTGAAAAACTAGATGTAACAACTTCCCCTGAGACTTCCTCTACTTACCAATCCTCCTTAAGTTTTTCTTGCACTGCTACGCTCATATCCAGCTGGATAGACTTTTTTGGTGTCTATTTTTCTCCCATTGTATTCAGTGTCTTGGTTCCTCTGCCCCATTACAACAATTGCTCTGTTCCGGTTTGTATTTTCCGTAGATCTGGGATTCCTTTGTCCCTGTGGCTTAAAGCACCACTTTCTGGATTACCTATGTCATTCTATTGTTCCATAGCAACGTCAGTTTTTCAAGGTGAATCCACAACTCTCGTATATTTCTCCCACAGCTGCCAGTTTTCTCTGTGTCCTTCAAATTCACAAAACTCGCTTCCAATTCTTCTCCCATTTCCTCGTCTCATAGTCTTCTCTCTCCTAGCTTTATTTACCCTACCCGATATCTCAGCTTTCAGTCGTTGCTCAAGCACAATTATTTCCATATGTCAGAGTTCCCTTCTAATATTTGTATCATCCCTTACCCTCTCCTGACGAATGTGTGTGTGTGTGTGTGTAACAGAGAGAGAAAGACAGTGGTCAATACTGTGGTCAATGCCCCGTGTGAAGAGCTCCACCTGTTGTGTTGTTGGTCCAACCTTTACCATCATTTTTTTTTTGTAAAGATTGTGTAAAGATTGCGGAAAGGGAAGCACAGAGATGAGATTTTAGTTGAGTTACGAAAAAAGATTGATGGTGTTCCCTCTCCCCGTTTCTCTCTTCTCTTTCTCTCCCTCGCTCTCGCTCTCTCTCTCTCTCTCTCTCTCTCTCTCTCTCTCTCTCTCTCTCTCTCTCTCTCTCTCTCTCTCTCTCTCTCTCTCTCTCTCTCTCTCTCTCTCTCTCTCCTGCAGCTGGGGAGACACATTCTATTGCTGATGCGTTGTGATTTGTTTGTTCATATTAATTAGCTATCTTTGAGGGAGACCTTAAGAGATTATGTGATTTTTTTCCTTCCTACTTTTCGATTTTACTTTGCTCATGACTCGAGAACACTTCATCCAATCGACTTGAAATTTTCATTACTTGTGTACGGTAACGAAGGCGAAGTTCTAGGACCAGTTGGCATGTTCACGTCCCCTGTGACCAAAGTTATTGATCCCATTCTAAACATCTTGGAATGGC